ATTCCATTTTGCACCTTCCCAGTCAGCTGGCAAGCACACGCACTCTACAATTTAAAAAAAAAAAAAAAAGAAGGATCAGTATTATACGGCAGCTCCATGGCATAGTGGTAACGCACTGCTCAAGAGAAGATGGACTATCGTTCAACTATCAGCCTGAAACACTCTGGGCTCGTGCACAATCGCCCAAGATCCAACAGACCAGAGAACTGGAAGAAGGGGATCACAGCATGATTAGACCTTATGGAGGGTGTTAATCTCTCTCTCTCTCACACACATGCATATGTATGCACTCTATGATAAAGAAAGAAAAGAGTGTGTTTCAATGCAATTAAAGGGCTGGTCCTATAGCACAGCAGTTAAGCTCTGCTGAATCCCACCTGTCCCACTGCAGCTCGAGTCTCAGCCCTTGTGGTTTGAAAAGCATGGCCATAAAGGGGTCAGCAGGTGGCATGGTGGTTAAGGCGCTGGACACTCCCACATGGTTGACCACGGTTCGAGTCTCGGACCTGGTGGCTTGCTTTCTCACTTTCCTTCTCTCTGTGTCTATCTTTCTCTGTCAAAATGAAAATGATTGAATGAATAAATAAAATTAAGTAAGTAGTTCTTTAAAAAAAAAAAAAGCATTGCCATGAAGGAAAAAGGTCTGTGGCACAACCATACCCCACTGTAGGGTGCTTAGTCTCTCCTCTCTCTGGCAAGTGCATGCATCCTCTGGCACTTAAAAAAAAATGGTTTTCTAAAAAGACTAAAGACTAATTTTAGGGCCATCAAGTCATGTGGTGGTTATCGTAGCTAGATCCCACACGGATGACAGCAATTTGAGTTCTAGATCTAGTGGCTTGAAAAACACATTGAACACATGTGCATGCAAACCCAAAACCCTGAGAGGAGAATGGAGAAGGGACTGTGGCATGGCCATCCCCGGGGAGCAGGTGATTTCTCACTTTCCCTCTTTTATTTTTTTCTCTCTCTCTAGCAAACACATGCACCCTATAGCAAAAACTAAAAAAGAGAGAGAGAGAGATTTAAGGAGACATGCTAGAAGTTTCCTCACTCCAAGAAAATCGTCAGAAGAGATGTTCCCTCTTTCTCCAGATCAGTGGAATGCCAACTGAAGTCTCAAGATGCCTCGGACATTTCACGGTCAAAAGAATCTGCCCTAAAGATAAACTCAGACCCACGGGAAACCCTGCCAAGCTAATCATAGGGCCTGAGCCACTAGATCAATCCCGTCGTGAGGCCATTCCTGTCTTGGCCCCAGCTGACTGAGCCAAGAAATATTCTTAGAGTTGAAATATCCTCAGAGGCTTCCCTGTTATCTGCAGCTGAAAGCTTCCAGGAACTAGTAGATTCAGTCCAGAGAGTATACACAGGAAAACAAGAAATTAGCACTCCAGAGGGACAAGAGGGCGACTGACTGAGACTGACAAGGGGCCAGGAACTCTCACTGGCAACTCAGCAGAATTTCTAATATAATGGAACATTTGGGGAGAGAAACTCTAAAGATAGATAAAGCAAGGCAATACAAGAAAAAAATGAAAGAAAAAGAAAACTTCCAAGAAAATTAAAAACTATAAGACAAGGTAGATATAATCAATCACAATATGCTTCTTGGCTCTGCAGTGAATATTTATTTTTTTAAGAATTATTTCACTGGAACCAGCAGTTAGCGTAATGGTTATGTCGCAGGACTCCCACGTAGTCGACTGTGGTTCGCGTCCCAGACCGGTGGGTTAAAACTCACGCCCGGCGCGTGTGCATGCATGCCCAAGATCCCGAGAGGAGAATGGAGGAGAAGGGATTGCGGCGTGGCCATCCCCCTTGGGGGGTGATTTCTCGCTTTCTGTCTCTCTGTCTCTGTCTGTCTAGCGAGCACATGCAGCCTATTGCAAAAACCTCTCAAAAAAAAAAAATTATTTCATTTAAGGGACCGGCAGTTAGCATAATGGCTATGTCACTGAACTCCCATGTCGTCGGTCGCAGTTTGAGTCTTGGACTTGGTGGCTTAAACTCATACCAGGCACGCGTGCGTGTGTGCCCAAGATTCTGAGAGGAGAATGGAGAAGGGATTGCAGTGTGGCAATCTCCCCGGGGGGTGATTTCTCACTTTCTGTCTCTCTGTCTCTCTCTGTCTTTCTGGCGAGCGCACACGCCTTATAGCAAAAAACTGCTCTAAAAAAAAAGAATTATTTCATTTGAGGCCAGCAGTTAGCATAATGACTATGTCACTGAACTCCCATGTAGTCGACTGCGGTTCGAGTCCCAGACCAGGTGACTTAAACTCACACCAGGCACGTGTGCGTGCGTGCCCAAGATCCCGAGAGGAGAATGGAGGAGCAGGGACTGTAGTGTGGCCATCCCCCCGGGAGGTGATTTCTCACTTTTTGTTTCTCTGTGTCTCTCTGTCTTTCTGGCTAGCACAGGCACCCAGTAGCAAAAACCTCTAAAAAATAATTATTTTATTTAGCTTTATTTATTCCATTTATTTATTTTAATTTGACCAGAGAGGGACAGAGAGAGCGAGAGAGAGATGGAAAACAAGAAAACAGGCTGCCAGGTCCAGAACTCCACCCTTAACCACCACGCCACTTGCCGACCCCTGCAATGGATATGTACATCACTATAGTAATATAAACTCAGTTAGTGCCTTAACCAAAGTCGTGATACGGGTATACTGAGAAGGAAGGAGAGAAGGGGGAACAGGTGAAGAACCTGTTCCTCATTATCACAGCAAAAGTAAGTAGACCACAGTTAAAGCTAATATACAGAGGAACACAGGAGACCTAACTTCAGTGGTATAGGCAGCGGTGTGCCAAACTGCACTGCCAGCGGCCACATTGCCAACTCATAGATCCTGAGTCAACCTCACAACATACTGGGTGTGAGGCCAGCAGGTGATGTGGTAGTTAAGGTGCTGGACTTCCACTGCAGTTTGAGTCCTGGACCTGGCAGCTTGAACATCACGCCAGGCACATGTGCATGTGTGCTGAAAATTGTAGGAGGAGAAGGGATTGCAGTGTGGCCATCCCCCCTAAAGGTTGCTTTCTCACTTTCCCTCTCACTGTCTCTCTCTCTCCAGCGAACACGAGCACCCTGTGACAAAAAAAAAAAAAAAAAGTACTGGGTGCATGCACACCAAAGATCCTAACAGGCTGGAGGGGTGGAAGAAGGTGAGCATGACATGGAAGACCCTGTCAAGGGGACCTCCGCCCTCTCCCTTTCATGTGTGCTCTCCGCTATGAATAAAATAAATAAGCTTTAGAAAATGAAACAGTATGATATGCTTATTAGAGATAGAGAGATGTCTGCTAGAAAAAAATTGCTAAATACTAAGTGACTGCCTTGGAGAATGGAACATCAAAGACAAATGGTTAGTTGCTATGGCAAAACGAGTTTCTCAGAACTATTTAAGACTATTTAAGACTTTATTAGCACCAACACGATAAAAAATTAAGAAGTGGATTGCAAATAAGTAAAAGAAGCCTGCTTAGGGGCAAAGTCTGAATGGACAGTGGGAAAATCAGGAGTGTAGACTTACTAGGGCGGTTGGATCATAGCTACCATCGTTCCCCGTATCCACGAAGGACGGGTTCCAAAATCCCCAGGGGATGCTCAAACCAGAGACAGTCCTGAACCCTATGTGTACCACGTTGTTTCCTGCACACCCACACCAGCAGTAACGTTCAACATATAAATGAGACACAGCGAGAAGTTAACTTTCCTGGTGGTCAGAAAAGTCATGACATACCTTTTCTTTGTAGAGACTTTTTTGCAATAGGGCACCTGTGCTTGCTGGAGAGACAGAGAGCAAGAAATCACCCCCTGGGGGAATGGCCACGCCACAATCCCTTCTCCTCCAATTCCCCTCTCGGGATTTTGGGGATGCACACACACACGCCCGGTGTAAGTTTTAAGCCACCAGACTTAAAATCACGGAACCAGACTCAAAACACAGTCGACTACGTAGGAGTCCAGCAACATAACCATGATGCCATCTGCTGAGCCCAAGACATGTTTTTTTTTTTTTTTTTTTTTTGGATAGGGGTTTCCACAAAGGGCGCTGGCGCC